TTTTTTTTAGTTGTTGATGGGCCTTTATTTATTAATTTATATGTGGTGCTGAGAATCGAACCTAGTGCCTCACACATGCTAGACAAGCGCTCTACCACTAAGCCACAACCTCAGCCCCATGGTTTTTTTATTTTTGGTACTGAGGATTGATCTGGAGGTACTAAACCATGAGCCACATCCTCAGCCCCTTTTTATTTTATATTTTGAGGCTGGCTTTGAACTTGTGATCCTCCTGCCTCAGCCTCCCCAATTGCTGGGGATTTTGTAATGCCAAACTATTTCCTAAAACAACTATACCAATGTATACTCCCTTCCAGGAGTGTGCCTGCACTTCAGTTCTGTCTTCACGAATATTTAGTATTATCAGATACTTTAATTTTTTCTCAGCTTAGAGGGGCATAAGGTTTCCATTTCTTTGTTTCCCAGAAGCCCAATTAGGCTCATCATCTTTTCATGTCTATTAGACATCTGAATTCCTTTTTGTGCAGTGGCTGTTCAATTGGGCCTCTTCTGTCCATTTTCCTAGTAGAGATTGATTGTTTTCTTATTGATTTGTAGAAGTTTTACATATTCTGATACTTTCTTATTTATTTATTTATTTATTTATTTATTTATTTATTTATTTATTTATTTATTTGGTCGACACAATATCTTTATTTTACATGTATATGGTGCTGAGGATCGAACCCAGTGCCTCCTGCATGCTAGGCAAGCACTCTACCACTGAGCCACAACCCCATCCCCTATTCTGATACTTTCTAATGACCCATTTCCTAAGAAATCTTTCAAATCCTCCCATGCTCCCCTCTTCACTTTAACCCATACTTTCTACAGCACATATAGAAGAATTGAAGGAGGGATTTCTGATTTGAGATGAATGTATTAACTATACATGCTCTCAGTTTCCTCTTATTAGGGCTGATTCATACAGTTAATGGAAGGGATCTGACCCCAACCTACCATCCCCAGTCTTGCGAATTCAATACCTCTTTATTAGGCAGGTCCAGAACTATGGATGCCAAACTCAAAATTCCATCTTTTCAATGAAGAACTGAAGACTCTAGGAACTTCATGAGCTTCAGTTTAACAACTTAAAAATTTTTTAAAACTAGAGAGGAGGGGCTGGGGATGTGGCTCAAGCGGTGGCGCGCTCGCCTGGCATGCGTGCTGCCCGGGTTCGATCCTCAGCAGCACCACATGCCAACAAAGATGTTGTGTCCGCCGAGAACTAAGAAAAAAATAAATAAATGTTGAAATTCTCTCTCTCTCTCTCTCTCTCTGTCCCCCTCTCTCACTCTCTCTTTAAAAAAAAAAAAAAAAAAAAAAACTAGAGAGGAGGAACAGGGATGTAGCTCAATGGTACAGCACTTGCCTAGCATGTGCAAGGCCCTAGGTTTGATCCCCAGGACTGAGGCAGGGGACTGGAAAGTACAGCTTACACATCAGCAAGTATTTAAACAGACACAGTAAAAGCACTAGGGTGAGACTGATCTAAAAAGCTGAATATGAGCTAGAGATGTGGCTCAGGGGTAGAACACATGCCTGGCATGAGCAAAGCCCTGTTTTTTTTTTTTCTTTTGTTGTTGTTTTAATATTTATTTTTAGTTATAGTTGGAAACAATACTTTTATTTTGTTTACTTATTTTTATGTGATGCTGAGAATCGAACCCAGGGCCCCACATGTGCTAGGCGAGTGTGCTGCTGCTGCTGCTGAGCCACAACCCCAGCCCAAAGCCCTGGTTTTGATCTCTGGTGCAAAAAGAAAAGAAAGAAAAAGAAAAAATTATTTGTACCCTCAAAAGCTGAATATGTTCTCAGCTTCAAAATCCAAATATGCAGCTACCTTCCCCCACTGCTCATGTTTGGATCTCATTCCCGATACTCACATTTATTGCCTCGAACAGCATAAGCAAGCTTTAGTTCTGGATGAAATTTGCCCATCTGCTCAATCACTTTTCCTGTTTGAAGTGCCAATTCATATGTAGGGGAGAGGCACAGACACTGACAGAAAAATCATACAGGATGAGTTTAGTAACAGAAAATAGGTTCTAACACAAGTATGTAGTTATTATGACTTGAACAATGCAGGGAGTCACAACCTCCCACTTTCCAATAGTGGACTGAAGTCTTCAGTAGGGAGCCCTAGCTTAATGGAATCCCTGGCATGGTGGAGGCCTTTGTAAGATGCTGCTTTCAAATGAATTCTATTAGGATGAGGCCTGGTGTGTTAATCTGTTCTGCCTGAGCCATGGCCTAGGCTGTCAGTAAAGGTCAGGGTTCTCATTAATCCTCCCACCAAATGGCTCCTTCCCAGGGCAGGCAAGCCCCCACCCCCAGGCTTCCAAGCCCTCACCTGAGGGTATCTGTCTGCTGGTTCTACTCTGCTAAGCATGGCCAGGACAAAGGCAGCTGTTTTTCCAGTGCCAGACTGAGACTGGGCAATCAGGTTCTGTGGACTGGATTGACAAAGAGCAAAAAAGAAATAAATATTGGTTGAACATAATAAAATATCAAAATGTTCTTTCTGGGTAGAAGGAATATTTTCCTCTTTATGCTTCTCTGTATTATCTAGATCTTCTGCATTGAATGCAAATTACTTTAATATATTTTTATATGTTATTTAAAAATTTAAATAGTCAAGGAAATAATGATTGTTTTGGATAGGTTGACACACAGACACACACACACACAAACACACGCAAATCCTCATTCTTTTTTTTTTTTTAAAGAGAGAGTG